GTTGTTAAAAACTCATAAACATTTTAATTAGTAAATGTTGTTTAATTTAATTAATTAATTTATTTATTTTTGTCAGTCATGTGGTTTGAACTCTGGGCCTGGGTGCTGTTCCTCAGTTCTTCAGCTTAAGGCTAGCACTCTACCACTTGAGCCACTGTGCCACTTTTGGTTTTCTGGTGGTTTATTGGAGATAAGAGTCACAGACTTTCCTGCCCCAGCTGACTTGAACTGCAGTCAGCCTCCTGAGTAGCTAGGATTACAGGCGTGAGCCACCGATGCCTGGCTATTTTTGTGTTTTATGGTATTTGACCTTGGCCTATGTTTGCTCAGCAGGAGCTTCACCATTTGAACCACACTTTCAGCTAGAAAAAATATATACATACATATTTACAGTGAAATGAGGATGTCTATGTTGTATAATAATTTGCCTCAATCTCTTTCTTCCTCTCTCTTTTTTGAACTGAGGATCTCACACTTGCTTGGCTTGCTTGCTCATGGTTGGTACTCTGCCACTTGAGCTGTTCCTTCACTCTGGTTTTTTACAGATTATTTGTGGAGATGGACTTTTCTGCTAGGGCTGGCTTTAAACCTTGATCCTTTGGACCTTAGCTTCCTTGGTATCTCAGATTATAGGCATGAGCCACAGGCTAGGCCATTCTTGATGTCAGTTGGTTTTTACTCAGATAAGCAAATTCTCCCTCTGTTTGTCATGCTATTTATAATCCAGAAAGTGAATGAATGCTAAGCCTTTTTAAAGGGCACACTTTGATATGTGACTTTGCTAGTACCTCATTTTTAGTGACTACAGCTTGCATAAACTTACATTTTTTGTTTGTTTGTTTGTTTGTGGGGCTTGAACTCTGGGCCTGAGTGCTGTCCCTGCACTCTTCAGCTCAAGTCAAGCATTCTACCACTTGAGCAACAGTGCCACTTCTGGTTTTCGGTAGTTAATTGGAGATAAGAGTCTCACAGACTTTGCTGCTCGGGCTGGCTTTGAACCATGATCCTCAGATCTCAGCCTCCTGAGTAGTTAGGCATGAACCACTGGCACCCTCTTTAAAATTGTTAATGATGCTAGCTTTTTGCAGGCTTGCATCCATGTGTTTCTAATGGCAAGAAAAGACAGCTTGATGTTATTGACATAATATGCCAGTCATGACTATTGTCCTGTAATGGATGCATTGGAAACATGGAGACTATAAACTTTTTTCCCAAGATGTAACCATGGCTATGCTAAGTATTTTTGTCATTCACAATTTGGGTTGGTCTTGGGAACATTTTCAGACATCAGTGGAAAATTATTCTAGCAAGTTCATATTTGTCAAATGTCTTAGGGTTGTTTTGTTTTGGCCTCTCAGCTTGTAGTTAAATACCTTAAGGCATCACTATGAGTCGGGGTCTTTAGAGGACTAGAGCCCATGGATCTATTTATCTAAATTGAGGTGAAGAGTTGGGTCATGCAATTTTGCAGGTTGAGAAATCTCACAGCTCTATTATCTGTAAGATGGAAACTGAGCAAAGCTTGGTGATATCTTTTCTGTCAGTTTGAAGACCTAGACCCAAGGGAGACTCGGGTTTAAATTCCAGTTGTGGGCCAGAAGTCATGTATTCCAGTGTCAGAAGCAGGCAGTACTGGTTCAAATGTTATTCCTATTCTGAACACTACATTCACAGAAATAGTTTTTAATTTGGGAACCCAGGGCCAAATCAGATTGACACATAAAATCAACCATCCTAGTATCTAATTTTACCTAAGCTCTGGAGTCCACCTGTCTTAAGCCTCCTTCTCTTCCCCTTTTCTTTTTTCTGTCTGTCTGCCTTTCTCTCTCTCCTTTCCTTCCCATTGGGCATTTGGACCTGCCATGCCTATTCCCACATATCTTTAGCTATCCCTGTTCCTCCCAGCCTTTCTTCAGTGACTGCTGCCCGACTCTCATTCTCCTCATCTCATTCGTTGTTACCCCCTGGTTATGAAATCTAATAGTTCAATGTTGAACTTACCTAAGTACACTGAACATTTCTGGCCACAAACTGAAACATTCTCTCTGGTTTCTGTCTTTCTATATCATTCTAATTTTCTTCCTTTTATTTCCCTCCTCCTGACCTTCTTTCTTTTTGCCCTTAAAACTTTTCCTTGGTGTCTCTCTTAGACCATGTTCAAGCTCTGTATTCATGTCCTTCTTCGCCCATATTATTTGCTACCATATGTGCTAGTAAGAATGTATGTTGTCTGAATCTGTATTGATAACTCAAATCCGGATCTCCACCCCAGATCATGCTGCTTTACAGCATCTCTCTCTCTGCATATGTCCTGCAAGTCACTAGAATTCATGCTAAAACAAATGCAAAGCTTCCTTTCTGATTGTATTTTAGCAAAGGCCTATGTTTCTGCCCAGCTGTTGCAGCTGGAATTGAGGTGTTACCCATTTCCCCTCTCTCTTACCTTCTTCCATTCTTCATTCAGTTTCTCAGGCACCAAGTCTGGTCACCTGTGCCCCATTTGTGTGGCAGCTAAAATACAATTCTCTTGTGCCTCTTTTATGGAAAAGAGCAAGGATCTTGGTTAATTGTTTTACTTTAGGGAGATGCATTTCTTAATATGATTGTAGATTTCAGATGGAAAGATATGCCTCCTCCCCCCATACTTTTTAGTGGATTTTTAGAGTGCTTTGTATTTAGTAGGTATAATTAGGTTTAGGTGAAAAAAAATTGAAGCTGACTAAAAAGGAGCTTAAACTTAAAAACTGGTCTTAGAAAGGTTAAGAGATCTGTTTGCCCAATGAGATGTACAAGTCGTTATGTTGAAAACGAACTTTACAACTTTGGTGTGTGGGGGGGGATGGGAAGGGGAAACAAAGGAGGAGGCTACAATGCTTGATAAGAAATGTACTCATTTGAGGCTGGGAAGGTGGCTCAGTGGTAGAGCGCTTGCCTTGTATGCATGAAGTCCTGGGTTCGATTCCTCAACACCACAAAAGCAAAAAGAAAAAAAAGCTGGAAGTGGCGCTGTGGCTCAAGTGGTAGAGTGCTAGCCTTGAGCTGAAGAATTGAGGGACAGCGCCCAGGCCCAGAGTTCAGGCCCCACGACCAGACTCCCCCCCCCAAAAAAAGAAATGTACTCATTATCTTGCCCATGTAATTGTAACCCCTCTGTTCAGTATTTTCACAATAAAAAAAATTAAAAAAAAAAGAAATGTGTTTGCCAATTGAGGCAGTGATCACAGTACTCAGGAGGCTAAAGTAGGAGGATCACTAGTTTGAGGCCAGCCTGGCCTTCGTAGAGAGTCAGTGTTTCAAAACAAAGAGAAATTAATGTCATATGGAGATTTGGGAGTTGAAACAGTCATTATTAAAAGGTTGGGAGGAAATGAGTGTCAAACTAAACTGGCTTAGTTCAGTTAGTCAGCTATTATATATACTATCTGCTTCCAGGACAAATCCCAAGTCAATAATATTAACAAGTTTTAAAGATCAGAAATAAACCCACGGACTGGAGGAATATTTTCCCCCACATCCAACTATTCTCCTTTCCCAGCAAGCACCAGGCTCTTCAGTTCAAGTCCTGGTACCAATAAAAAACAACTCCATGGGCAGTGGAGTTATGGAAGAAATTAACTTTTTCATAGTTATTATTTTGAATGTCTTAGTTTTTTTTTGAATTGTCACTTCTACTTCTTAGAACACAAAATAGTATGATGCAGTTAGAGAAGAAGTAGGGTTTTGTTTGTTTTGTTCTTGTCCTCTTGGGGTATAGATTACACATACCAGGCAAGTACTCTACCACTGAGCCACAATATACTGTCATATGCAATGTATACTCAGATATGTGGTATTTCTTGCTTTAACAAGTGGGTTTTTAAAAAATTAGCAAGTATGTTAAAAATCTATAAAAATTGTTACATTCTAAATGAGAATAAAGCATGAGGGTTTGGAGATATTAACATGGAAAATATCACAGGTTGAGTCTTACCTGGGATATTTGGATCAGAAGTGTTTCAGGTTTTAGAGTATTGATGTAAATTTCATTGATTGAGCATTCCTTATTTTGAAAATCCAAATAGCTTTCAAGATGCATAACCTTTAAAAGACAGAAGTTCTGTTGTGGCTCTCTGTGCTGGCCACCAGATGGCACTGGCATTCCACACCATTGGTTTCGCAGAATGGAGGATAATTCTTGAAATATGTGAAAGGATAAAGGAGGGACACCTTCCGAAGAATAGGATGTTCTTTTATTCTTATTTTTTAGCAATACTGGAGATTTGAACTTGGCCTTGCGCTTGCTAGACTGGTGCAATACCACTGAGCCACACTTCTAGCTGTTTTTTCTCTGGTTATTTTTAGGATAGGGTTTTATTTCTCTTACTGCTTTTACTATTTTCTTTTTCGTGCCAGTCTTGGGGCCTGAACTCAGGGCCTGGGCACCATCTCTGAGCTTTTTGCTCAAGGCTGGCACTCTTACCACTTGAGCCACACCTCCACTTCCTGCCTTTTTTGGTGCTTAATTGGAGATAAGATTCTCACAGCCTTTCCTGCCCAGGCTAGCTTTGAACCATCAGATCTCATCTTCCTGAGTGTGTAGGATTACAGGCATGAAACACTGCTTTTAGACTTCGGTGAAAAACATACAGCACTGCATCTAATTTTCCTTCTATAGAGATGGAATCTCACTGTGTTTTCTGCCTGAGTTGCTGTGACTCTATGATCTCCCAATCTCAGCTTCTCATATAGCTTAATATGACATCCAGCCATGAATTGAGAAGGTCCCAAACTTCTGCCCTAACCGGCCTTGAACCTTGATTCTCCTGTCTCAGCCTTGTAGAGTGCTACCGTAGCAAGTGTGAGGACCTGAGTTCAGTCCCCAGTGTTTCCGAGAAAAAAATAAAAGTTGAAAGTATTAATATAAAATTAGGTCTGCAACATTTTCAGAACTATGCAATAAGCTTCCTGGGGATTTCCCCCCCTAATTTTCACTGACTCTCTTTCTGTTCTTTTTGAAACAGTGATCACATGGAAAATGTCTATGGCTACTTAATGAAGTATACCAACCTTGTCACAGGGTGGCAGTACAGGTAAGTGTGATTATTAATGTTCCATCAGTCTCTCCCAAGAGATCTTGTAACTGATAAATTTATATCCTGATACTTCCTTAAATTACAGACATATCTAGGAACTTTTTAGAGGAGGATTTACCACATTGTCCAAAAGTATGGTGACTGACTTTCTTTTTCTATTTATTTATTTATTTATTTTTGGGTCCGGTCGTGGGGCCTGAACTCTGGGCCTGGGCGCTGTCCCTCAGCTCTTCAGCTCAAGGCTAGTGCTCTACCACTTGAGCCACAGC